CCCCCCCCCCCCCCCCATCTGCAAAAAAACACCATCTCCTCTTGTATCAACAGGAGCATCATCATCATCATTGTGCAGCGTCATGATGTGATGGTCACCATCATCACCATGTCGCGAGCGAAATCGTCTCCCCTGACCCGCCCCTTCACAAAAAAAAAACTCTCTCTTCTCCTGTCGTACCGATAGGAGCTCCGAAGGCGGCGGCCACGCCCGCGGCCGCCCCGCAAGCCACAAAGTCTCGCTTCTCGCGATCGTTCCTGAAGTCTTGGAACTTGGAGAAGGAAGTGTCGAAGCCCAAGACGTTTGACTTCCCCTGGAGGTGGCGGCAGGTAGTCGCCAATCAAATGGAAGGGGGGCGTTGAAAAGGGTGAGAGGCTGGTGTAAGCGTCGTTCCGTACGCATACGTGACGTGTGGAGCACGGCGAGGAAAGCCAAGACAACAATAACACCATCAGCAACACCTTCACAAGGTATCAACTACAGCAGCAGCAGCAGCAAAAGGCACCACCACAAGCAACAACCCAACAACAACAACAACAACAACAAGACCAAAGTACTCACAGCGGTCATCCCATCCCCATAACCACAGCCACAACGGCAAAAGGCCCACGCAAACGTGCAGGAAGAGGAAGCCAAATCACCTGCGATATCCCTGCCGCCACGACAGACCCCGAGTGCACCATGGGCCCTTCCTTTCCCGCCGGGAGCCCGGCCGCGACCGAGAACATGACCCCCAGCACCTTGCACAGAAGGGTCTTCACCCGCACCTGTTCGTTTTTAGGCCAGCGTTGTCGCCCCTGTGTCACTGACTGCAGGCAGCTGCCATCAAGCGCTTGCCTCCCCCCCTCCCCAGACGTAACTCGTTCGGCACTGGGGGTCGGGCTAAACATTTCGCGAGTTTAAAGACTTTCCTCTGTGAGTCTGAAAAGGACGGGAGCGTAGTGTCGAAACAACATCAACTGCCTCGAAGGTAATGCCGATACAAGCATATCAGCATCGCGCCCGCAAAACTACATATTATTATAATACGTATATCACATCACAGTCATCGGGTTGACGCCAAAGAAACAGCAAGACATGACCGACCGACAGCAACGCTTACAACCCGACAGCCTACGCAGGGGTTTTCGATCAAGTATACATGTTGGACAAAGCATTGCAATCGGGAAAGTTGGGTTAGGGTTCATGTTGGATACAGCATGAACCCGGGGAAGTAGGGTTAGGACTTAGGGTTGGGGATAAGGGTCTGCGTACCTCCTACCTTTTCTATTTCCTTATGAAACTAATTTCTGGCAAAGGAGGCGGCCCTTACCACCCTTGGCAGGTCGATGCCGTTGAGGAAGCTCTTGATCTCGGGGATCCCGGAACCGGCGGCCAGCGGCTCGAGCCACACCAGCCCGTTCGCGACGGTCACGTACGACAGGTTGAACCCCAGCATCACCAGGAAGGCCCGCCATGAAGGGCCTGTTCATGTGTACCGCATCAGTTGAGGTGGAATTGTTTTGTTGGTGGGCGGACCACGGCTTTCCATCGAGGGCCCACAACGTATCGGTTGGGATGGGACGGGTTTTTCTTATGGGCGGGGCACAGCGGCCCATTTTTTTTGCTTACCATGGTACATCGGTTTGGGACGGAAGAGGTGGGTGGGTGGGTCACGCCAGAAATTTAAGAGATTGGGGTGACAAAACGAAATTGTAAGAGATTACAGCATCCTTTTGTAGCTGCCGAACGTTTGTAGCCCACCGACGCTGACAAGAAAAATTCTCAATCGGAAAACCGTTGAGAGAGCGCAGAGGCATGCGCAGCTGGACCAACGGCGACCAAACCGACCCAACCGCAGCCACGTACGGAAAGCTGTGAAGACAGGGCGCATGAGTCACCATACACGTCGCATCTTCAGTGGCAACAAGGTCTGCTGCCGTGCGTAAAAAGCAATGCAAAGGGCGAGAGGAACACCGCGTGTTGATACTGTGGTCTTCATTTCAGTGATGTTCAGACAACACGCGCACACCAGCCTCCTGGATCATGTGAACTGCGGGGCCGATGGGGACATTCGAAGACTCATGCGATACAGGGGCAACCTTCGACTCTTCCAGGAATACGTTGCAGACAAGACCCACGCAAGGGTTCAAAGCCGCCACCGCCTTGCCGCAGGGAGAAAAAAAAAAACAAGACCGAGGGAACGGACCTCCGGCGATGTGGAGGGCGGTGTAGACCGGAGTGAACTTGACGTTAAGGAGGGTCTTGGTGCAGAATGTGACGAATACGGCGATCAGTCCCGTCAGAGCGCCGACAATGAGGGTCATCGCCCACCGCTTCGCCGCCCGCCGCTTGCTCGTAGTCCACCACCTGCCGCATGCGGCGTTTGTTTGTATGTTTCCCGGCCGCGCGCTGCAGTAACGACATCTTGTTGTTGATGTTTACACAAAAAAAACGTTCCGATCTCCGCTCAGTAGTATCTTCTAATGTCCGTACTGGTCCAACTGGCTCAGTGGACACCTTCGTTCCGTAGCCACAAGTCAAACAACCCCAAAAGGGGTACACCTGTCTTAGAAAAATTATGTAGGCTAGACAAATATTGAAAATATGCCCAGTGTGCAGCATCAAAACCGAAGCTCAGTTTTTAGCGGGATTGTCTTGCCTACTCGCTGCGAAGACTTCCAATAAATTCGGTTCGGCAGCTTTCATATCAAAACGGGTAGTCCTTAAATTGGTTGCATGTGTTCTCCAAAAAGAAAAATCAACATCGTACAAGTAGAGCTTTTCACCACCGATGACAACGGCATGACGAGCGATAGATCTCTGGTCAACGAGAAACCAATTCGCTCCGTCCACAGCGTAATATACAACGCTGTACAAACCATCGCCCACGTCATTCACACGCACACTCCTTCTCCTCCGCCCCCCCTCCAGTCAGCACCATGGCCCTTGGGGCGAAATTCTACCAAAATCCCTATTTGGAACCAAACCAAAATACGGTCGTCTACAAAATCCCGGCATAAAAAAGATCACAATGAATTTCTACCAAGAAAAACACACAGTGCCGTCGTCATGACCATCATCATCACCATTAACGTCTTGACCCATACCTTCCCCGATCTCTAAAATGCCGCTGGGCCTGGTGCGTTCGCCACACTTCGCTCTCGTCGGGCTCGTAGTTGTGGCTGTCCGGCTCGGCCTTCCCCCGCCTTCGGCCCGTCGCCCACGCGGCGTAACCCCCGTCCTGACAAAAAAAAAAAAATAGATATAGAAAAAAATGTAAATAGTAAGCACACAGAGGCTATCGGGCAGCCCAGCCGGGACAGCCTATCCCTATCCTTAACCCTAATCCCGTGTCGCCTACAAACACCCAGCTTTTTGCCCTCGCGAAAGCTACTGCCTAGCTCGTGGGGGGAGGGGGGGGGCATCAAGTGAGGTGACCAAGCGTTGGGCTCGTGTCCGGTAATTTGGGAAGGTCGCGAGACGGACGGTGATAGGGGGAGAGGAAGACGAGAGGTAGAGGGGGGGTTGTCAAAGACGAGAGAAAGGGGCGGAATCCGGTTCAAGAAAATAAATGTTTACTGCTTGGGCTGTTGTGCCACAAATGCATGCAGGCCTAAACCGCGTCATCATGGTGAAGCTGGAGGAGCTTTATTTGACTTTAGGTAAGCAGCTTCTCTTATTTAGTGCGAACACCGCACAGCAGCAACAATCACAACAACGGCCACAGCAGCAGCAGCAGCAGCAACAACAACAACAACAACAACAACAACAACAACAACCCACATGTCTTGATGGGCCAAGAAGGTCTTCGTCGCTACTGTTGCCCTCGTCGTCGTTCAACGCGTAGTATCTGATATACCGCCAAAGATAAAGAGCAAGGTTTGGGGTAGGGGTTTACGGTTAAAGAAAAACAAAAAGCAGCGGTAGGGATACATGTAGGGATAAAGAGAAACGCA